TGTATTTGTGCACTCTGACAGCGGCTGGAGAAAACCCGGCCTGAGCGCAGGTGGATTTCTGCTGTGGGTAGGGTCCCAGGAGCAAGGCTGGAGAGTCCTAGCCTTTGGAGGGTTTTGCGGTCCGAGTCTTTGAGGCTCTTTTGCTGCGGAGTTGGCAGGCGTATCCAAAGTGCGCACGCTGTTCACAATCGTGCACGATTCGAGCGTCTCCCGAACTGCAGAGATCATCGGGTCTTGCATGAATCTGTCCGTGCATGAAAATATATCTGTTGCAGCACTTATGTGCACTAGCGTCCATCGGCGTTCAAGGGCACTGCAAAGGCAGCTTTTTGGTGCATAGCCAGATCTATGATAATAGTATACCAAAGGCATCCTGTCGAAGGAGTCTTTACTAAAGGAATCCGCAGGAAAGACACAGGAGTACTGAGGGCTCCTTACCGAAGGAACGGGCCCTCGGTGTCACGAAACGCAGTGTATGTTTGTGGTTGTCTTGGAAGCAGCGAAGCACTGTGTGCTTTGTTTTCTTTCTGTGTGTGTTTTGAGCTTTGGAAGCTCAAGTCCTCACCGCGGTTTCCTCACAGCACCCCGCTCTGAGCTTCCCGAACTAGAAAACGCAAACATTCACACTGTCTGTCACTTTCGGTGCCATGACAAGCTTTTCGTTGATTATGTTTTTTTTTCTTGGGGTCTGGTAAGCAGCGAATTGTTGTTTCTTTTTCTTTGTTCTGTTGAGTTCTCCTTTGTAAAGAACAATTATTGTTTCCCCCCCCCTCCAGAAACCATTGCATTTTTCAATCGAAGTGCTTCTCCCGGGGCTCGCACCATGTTTTTTACAAGGGAAAGTGTGGGGTCACCAAGCTGGGCCCCTGGCCCCCGGTCTACAACAACAGCGGCTCCCGCTTTGCTTCTTCACAATTTATTCTCAAATCGCTCTCTCGCGCGGGCCTTCCTCACAAGTTACACAGGAATCGCGCTCTCGCGTGGCATCTCCTCGCAATTTGTTCAGACGCCGCGCCCTCGACATTCAGGAATCACGCTCTCGCTGTAGATTTCCTCACGGTTTATTTGGGAATCGTGCTATAATTCGAGACTTCTGCGCGATTCGTTCAGGACGCACGCTTCAGCAACCCGCCTGCCCCTTGTCCATTCTTTCCATTCGTCCTCTCTTCCCCTGCCTTAGGGGCTGCACGACATACACGTTGCAGGTAAGAAAGGTATACCCCTAGGGGGGTACGATCGAAGACGAAGAGGGCGGGTATCGAGGTTTTGGGATATATTTGTTGAATGTCACGCGAACAGAAATGAGCGAACAGTCTTGAACGGCTTTTTACTGTTGTTGTTACCGCTGTTGTTGCTGCTGTTGTTGTTGTTGCTGCTGCTGTTGTTGTTGTCGTTGTTGTTGCTGTTATTGTTGTTGTTGTTGTTGTTGTTGCTGCTGTTGTTGTTGTTGTTGTTGTTGTTGTTGTTGTTGTTGTTGTTGTTGTTGTTGTTGTTGTTTTGTTGTTGTTGTTGTTGTTGCTGTTGTTGCCGTTGTTTTGTTGTTGTTGTGGTTGTGGTTGTGGTTGTGGTTGTTGTTGTTGTTGTTGTTGTTGTTGTTGCTGTTGTTGTTGTGGTTGTTGTTGTTGAATTCTCATTTCTGAAGAATAATTATTGTTGATCCCCCCCACCGGTGCATATTGTTTTTTCTCAATCAAAGTGTGCCCCTCGACGCTCGCACCCGGTTTTTTGACAGGGAAAGTCTTGATGCTCAAACTGGGCCCCTGGCCCCCCTGGTTACAACAACAACGGCTCCCGCTTGAGACTTCCTTACAATTTAGCCAGGACCCCTGCTCACGCCCGAGACTTCCTCGCATTTTCTTCAGGAATCGCGCTATCGCTTGGGACTTCCTTACAATTTATATAGGGATCGCTCTCCCGGCGCTCTGGAGTCGCGCTCTCGCTGGAGACTTGCTTGCAACTTACTGAAGAATGGCCTTGCGTTGGAATTTCTTGCAATTTGTCCAAGCGCCGCGCTCCCGACACCCAGGCACCCAGGAGTCGCGCCCGTTGTGGCCCCATGTGGATGCCCTTCGTGGCCCCGCTGTCGCCATTTGTGTCCCCCTCACTGTCCTACGTGGCCCAGTTGCTACCCTCAGTGGCCCCATAGTTGCCTTCTGTGGCCCCGCATTATCTGCACTTCGTGGCCCCCGCTCGTTCGCGCTCTTCGTGGCCCCATACGCATTCCCTTCGTGTCCCCGCTGTCGCCCTTCGTGGCCTACTTCGTGCCCTTCGTGGCCCTGCTGTCGTTCTCTCTCGCTCTCGCTTTCGCCCGTCGTCGTCGTCGTCGTCGCCGTCGTCTTCGACGTCCTCGTCGTCGTCGTCGTCGCCGTGGTCGGTCCCCTGTCCTTCCCTCTTGGGGTCGGGTCGACGGTCCGCGGCCGCCCCGCCGATCAGCGCTGCCGCTGGCCAGGCCGACGGTCCGCGGCCGCCCCGCCGCTTGCCGGGGCCTGGCCTGCAGGGAAGAAGGGTATACCCCCCAAAAGGGGTACGATCGAAGACGAAGAGGGCGGATATCGAGGGTTTGGGAAATACGCGTTACTGGGCACTCGAGCATATAAGGGCGAACAGTCTTATTATTATGATTGTTGTTGTTGTTGTTGTTGTTGTTGTTGTTGTTGTTGTTGTTGTTGTTGTTGTTGTTGTTGTTGTTGTTGTTTGTGTTGTTGTTTGGTTATGTAGGCTCCGAGAGGGGCGTCGAGGGGAGACCGCGGTGAGAATTGGAGCCTCCCCCCAAAACCAAAACATACACAATGTTTCGCCGCTCCTCAAACCAAGACGACCAACAAAAACCAAACATCCACATCGTGGCACCGAGGGCGCCAGACTCTGTGTGTCTGGCTTTCAGGTCATGGAAGCTCAGAGAATGGTGCTGTGGAAGCGGCGGTGAGCCCTGGAGCCTCTAGAACCAAGAACAAAACAAACAACCATACACAGTGTTTCGCTGCTTCCCAGACCAAAGCAGCAAACACAAATCAAGCATACACAGCGTTTCGTGGCACCGAGGGCGCCAGACACTCTGTATGTTTGGTTTTTCTGGTTTGTGACGCTCAGAGAGTGGTGCCGGGGGGGGGGGGGGGGGCAGGCCGCGGTGAGCCCTTCAGTTTCCCAAGCAAAGAAAGTTCAAATAACAAACGTACGCAGTGCTCCGTTGCTTCCCAGACAATAACAAACAACACACGTACACAGCGTTTCGTGGCACCGATGGCCGGTTCCTCCAGTAAAGAGTCCTCATACATTTTTTTTCTTGTGAAGGATTCCTTAAGCAGGGGCTCCTTCGTCAGGATGCCTTTGGTATGGGATTCTTAGTGCGGACTTTTCTAATAGGGAGTACTGAGTAAGGACCCCTCCTGGTAAGGAGTTTCTAGCAAGGACGCCTCATTCAGGAATCCGCCGTAAACATCATTGGACAAAAAGGAACCCTCAAAAAGGACGCTTGTAGAGTCAGCCGTTCGTCAGCCAGGATCACAGGCTAATGGGTCGGTTGTGCAGCTTCGTGAAGCGACCGGTTCTGCTGCTTCGTGCTGTGAGCGTTTCGGGGTCCGCTTGGGGGGGGACCGTCTGTACACAGACATGTGTGTGTATATATATATACAAGTATATATATATATAGAAATGACAGTAAAGCTATTGAGGTACTGCTTGCTGCTGCCCATCCCGCCCTCCTCTTTCGCCGGCATAAACATAAACTTTTGGCGCTTCCGCGCAGATTTCTTGGATCTGCGCTGGGCCTCCCCGGCGGCGCCCCAGGCGCCGCCAATGGCGCGCTCCGCGCGCCAGGGAGGGCGTTCCAGCGCAGATCCAAGATATCCGCGCGGAGCTCAAAACGTTGATGTTTATGCAGTTGTTTGCTCCTCTATGTTCCCCCTCACCTTTTCACCATGTTGCAAAGTATGAGTGCTACTCTCCACTCTTCCCTGATGTCGTGCTGGTGTGAGAAGACTATATCGCGTACGGTGCTGTTGCAGACAGGATGGGTCCAGTTAGCCAGTTGCATGTCGATGTGAGTTTCCCAATCAGACTTTCAAAGTGATGCTTTCGCTGGTGCGTTCGCCATGTTTTAAGATCACCAGGGAGCCTGCTATCCCTTCCCTCCTCCTCCTCCCCGGGTTCTTGCAGAGCGTTCCAGATTGGCCTCCTCTCCCTCGCCCCCTCCTCCTCCCCCAGTCGTGGGTTCTTGCAGGGCATCCCAGAATGATCCTCGCCTTCGAGACGGATCGAGGGGTTGCTGCCTTGTCTCATCCCCGAGCGGAAAAGGCCGGCGGAGGGAGGCGGAAGTACTACACACGGCGGCGGGTCTCCTCCAGCGGAGGCCGGCGGAGACTGGCGGGAGGCCGGCGGGAGCTGGCGGAAGCACATTTGTTCGGAGAAGACCATGTATGATAAGCTTTTGGCGCTCCGCGCGGACTTCGTGGATCCGCGCTGGGCCTCCCCGGCGGCCCTCCCTGCACCGCCCCTGGCGCGCTCCGCACGCCAGGGAGGGCGTTCCAGTGCAGGTCAGAGAGGTCCGCGCGCAGGGGCGGAAGTTTCTGTTTGTGGCGTTTGTTCTTTTTCTAGTTGTGTCGGCGTCACCCCAGCATAATTACTAACACTGTGTGTGCGTCGCTCCCCCCCCCGGGGCGACGCGCGCACCGAGAAATCTTATAGTATATGCGTCGTGGCGGGCGCTTTCTGGCCACACCACCCGGGACACCACGACGTATTACAAGACGGGTATACCATATGTTCGGGTCGGACGCGCGCTTCCAAGGAGGACATATAGTACTGGTATGTCTCTATGCGTCCCATTCCAAGAGGTGCAGTCTTTTTGGATTCGGGGCATTTGAAGCGGGCCAGGCAGCGAGCTGGGGTCCTCCCCACGCACAGGGTGTCTTCTTTTGGCCAGAGCCTCGCGGACTCGCACCGCGAAGGGACCCTCTCCATCCCATTCCGTTCCTCTCCCCTTTGCGGCCGTCTTCTGCTTGAGGTTCGGGGCGAGGCGCCCCCACCCGTTCCGAGCCCGAGGCCCCGCAGGCGCCGCCCTGTGGCCCAGTCTGTCTGGCGATGCTGGCGCGCTCGCAGGCACTCCGCTCTGCCCTGGCGCGCTCGCGGCCGCGCAAGTCTCGGCTGCACGCAAGGGGTGACCCTTCGCTGGAGTGTCCTTTGGTGCGCGGCTTTCGGGGGGGGGGCGAACCCTGGCCGCGCACCAAAGGCCGCTCTTGCCCAGGGCCGCTCTGGCGTGTCATAGAAGGTCCGGGGGCGGCTTCGGCTCCCCCCGCGACCACGAGCCTCTGTGGATCGAGAAGTGGAACAAGGACGGCCGGGGGGGAGTTTGTATGCATGCCTCGGGCAGCTCTTCGGCTCAGGATGATGTCTGGGGGGGGCATGGGGATTGATTTTGGGTGGCAGTGGGCGAAGGTGGGCAGAAGAGGAGGAGGATGGGGGGATGTTGATGCTGCCTCTCCCTCTCTTGAGGCCTCCTGGGGCGGCCCTCGTCGCAACGGCTTGGCCCGCCTCGTCATCTGGGTCCGAGCGCGCCTGGGGAGAGGTCGGGGGATAATTAAATGAGACGGGCAGGTCTTTCGCCGCTCGGGCCCCTCCGCCTCAGGGGACCGTTCTCGGGGTCCTTGGGCCCTCAAGAAACAGACGTGCCGCCTCGGGGATGGGGTTGGCAAGGCCCGCGATGAGAAGCCAGCCCCTGGGGATGGGCTCGACAAGGGTGTCCGCGTTCCGGCTGGCTCGGCTGCCTCGCAGCCAGCTGCATCTGGTCGTCTCGGTTCGGCCGGATGCTGCGCCGCTGCGTCCTTCGGGGCCGCTTGCGGCCCGTCGCTCCGGTCGGTTTCGGTTGCGACGCCGAAGTTCGGGCCCTCGATTCTGGTGTCGCCGTGGGACGTCGATGGTCGAGGGTTCGAGGGGGTGCTTTGAATTCGCCCTCCGCCCTTCTCCTCCGCCTCCTCCCCGCCCTCACGGGGGTGGTTGAAGGCCCTGCTGTGCAGACCCCCCAGCCCCGCGAGGACACCCGCCAGGGCAAGGACTCCCTCGACTGGGCCTTCCGCGCCTTCAACGCCACGGGCATCTACGAGGTGTTCCTGAAGAGCTCGCCGCGCTTCTATGGCTTCATTGTCGGCGGGGGCATGCTCGGAGGCTACTACTGGAGCCGCATGTGGGACCACGCCTGGAATTACATCAACCAGGGCAAGCTCTACGCGCACGTCCCGTACGTGTACCCCGCTCCTGAGGAGGACTGAGCAGCATCTCCTTTCCTCCCCTGCACCCTCCTCGTGATCCTTCTCCTCCTCTTCTCGCGTAGGGCTAAGCCTTGCTGACAACATTGAGCGCCGCAATATTGCCGAAGCTGTTAAAACGTAGCACCAAAAAACGCCCACACCCACACATTTGTATGTCAATGTGTATACATTGTGTCTGTGGATATATACAATTACGTGCGACTGTAGATGTATGCGTGCACATATATATGTATATATGTATAGATGTAGGCGTTGATAAATCTATGTATGCATGTAGGTGTATGCATGTCTGTATGTCTGTGTGTATGCATGTGCGTGCGTGCGTACGTACGTAAGAACGTATGTATGTATGTATAGACGCACGCATGTATGCATGAATGCATGTATGCATGTACCGAGATGTGTATACATGTGTGTATTCATGTCGTGTGCGTGCATGCATGCAGTATGTATGCATGTATGTATGTACGTATTTATGTATGTACGTATGTACGTATGTATGTATGTATGTGTTTATGTATGTATGAATGAACGAATGAATTTATGTATGTACGTATGTGTGTATACACGCAAGTATGCATATATGCATGCATAAATGCATGTCTGTATGCATGCATGTATGTATTTGTTCATGTATGAACGGATGCGTGTGTGTTTATGTATGTATGCATGCATGCATGTATGACTGTATACATGTACGTACGTTTGTATTTCCTGTATGTATGCATCGATGCATGCATGCATGTATGTATGTATGTGTGCATAGATGTATGCGTGCATGCATGCATGCCTGTCTGTCTGCCTGCGTGTCTGTCTGTTTGCCGGTCGGTCTGTATGTATGTACATATAGGGATGTGCATGCATTCATGCACGTATGTATGTACGTACGTACGTATGTCGGTATGTTCTGTTGTGTTATGGTATACGGTGTTATGTATGTATGCAATGCATGTGTGCGTGTCTGCATGTATGTACATATGTACGTATGTATGTATGTATGCATTCATGTATGCATGTACGTAATTGTGTACGTTTGCTTGTTTGTGTGCATGTATGTATGTATGTGTATGTATGTATGTATGCATGCAGGTATGCATGTATGTATGTACGTATGTATGTATGCATGCGTGTATGTCTGTATGTTTATGTATGTGTACGTGCATGCATGCATGCATGCATGCATGCATATTTGTATGTATGTAGATTTATCTGTCTGTATGTGTGTATGTATGCATGCATGCATGCATGTATGTGTATATCTGTATGTGTGTAGGTACGCATCTCTCTCTGTATATATATGTACATATCCGAGAGGCTGGCGGGTGCCTTTCCGCCGACCCCCAGAAGAGGGTATGTGCGGCTTCCGATCTCGAACGCACTTTTTTGTGCCGCGTCCCGTCGTGCTGCCTGCGTGTCGTTGTGTCTGGCCTGTCCCCCTCCTCCTCCGCATCTGCTGCGGGGGATTATTGGGGGCCCTGACGAGTTCCCCCTCTTGTCGGCGTCACCCCAACATGCTGATACCATGTGTGCGTCGCCCCCCTCCCCACCGGGGCGACGCGCGCACCGAGAACTCGTATAGTATATGTGTCGTAGCGGGCGCTTGCTGGCCACACCGCTCGGGAAACGACATACTACACGACGGGTATACTGTATGTTCGGGTCGGACGCGCGCCTCCAAGGGGGACATATAGTACTGGTATGCCTCTATGCGTCCCATTCCAAGAAATGCAGTCTTTTTTGGGTTCAGGGCTTTTGAAGCGGACCACGTGCAGGCAGCGAGCTGGGGTCCTCCCCAAGCACAGGGGGTCTTCTTTTGGCCAGAGCCTCGCGGACTCGCACCGCGAAGGGGCCCACTCCATCCCATCCCATTCCGTTCTTTTCCCTCTGTGGCCTCTCCAAGGAGAACATCTAGTGCAGTCTTTGTGCGTCCCATCTCGGGCCTCCCCGGCCCCTCTTGATGGCCCTTTTGACTGCTCTCGGCCCTCTTCGGCAGTCGTCGGGGCCCTCTCGGGGCCCCTATCTGGGCCCTCTTTTGGGGCGCAGCCGTGGGCCAGCCTGGGGGGCTCCTCTCAGCCGTCTTGGGGTTTGGAACCTCTCGAAATGACGAGAATTCGAATTCATTCAAGAGCAGCGCGTCGGAGCCTTTCTTGAGCCATTTGGGAGGGCATTTTGGACATCTTGAGGACCGCGGTGTGTGTGGATTTGGAGGACGCCTCGAGGGCCAGGGAGATGCGCCGGGGAGCTTGCCCCCCCTCTCACTCCCCCCTGTACTAGGATTTTGGACCCCAGCGGAGGAGGAAAGTAAGAGGGGGGCAGCCAACTACCTCACACGCCTTTTCACCCCCAGCAATCGGGGGTCGGCGGAATGTTTAGACGATTATATTGGCGATGTCGGTCCAGTTTCGGGAGTGCGCTGTTGTTGGTTGATGCCTCGCAGTGTAGATGTTGTTTTGACAGCGCCGTTGCCATCGATACTCGCTCCTCCCGCGCTGCTGCTTCTTGAAGTGATTGTCGGTGCCCGCGTGTTTGGCCGTCTCTCGCCGCCTGCCAAGCCGCCCCATCCCAACCCGAGGGCTCCGATGTGGGGGGGGGTCGGGGAACATCGAAAAGCACATGAAGTCCGTGCCCCCTCATCCCGAAATTCGGGTCTTCGTGTTGGGTCAGAGTGGTCTGGTGGGTAGTCAGTCTCGTGTCTTGGAGCTTCCTTGGAGGCTCCTCGGACCGTCCTGGAGCGATCTGGGGGCTTTCTGCTTTCTGGGGCCGTCCTGGTTGGCTCTCTGGGGGCGGCGGGGCGCGGGCCTTGTGCCGACGTGCTTCGAAAACGTGAGGTCTGCGGCACTTCGCAGCACCAGCGCAGTTCTGCTGAGCGCTGCGGGGTGCGTGTTTTCCCCCGTAAGCTCTTGCTCTCCCGGCTTACCCTCCCCCGCTCTCCCTCTCCCTCCCTGCCTCGCGTCCCCCGTTCCCCCCTTTCCTCCACCCCGCCCGCGGCTTTCTTGAGGCCCTCTCGAGGCCAGCCTGGATGCCATCTTCAGCGCCTGGGGCTTGGGGCGAGAGTCCAGTCGTCAGAGAGTTCCTTCGGTGCTGAAGAATGTTGGCCTCGTGGGGGCATCCTTGGGGAAACGGGGGAGGAGGAGGAGGAGGAGGAGGAGGAGGAGGAGGAGGAGGAGGAGGAGGAGGGAGGGAGGAGGAGGAGAGGAGGAGGAGGAGGAGGAGGAGGAGGAGGAGGAGGAGGAGGAGGAGGAGGAGGAGGAGGAGGACGAGGATGGGCTCGTGGACGTGCGCGAGGCGTCCATAACTCGTAGCAGTCCATGGGCAAGCGCCACTGTTTCCGTGCGCCTCCGGTGCGAGAGCGCCCGGTCAGAGTGCGCGCGGAACGCCGCTCCAGACAAGCAGCCTGCCCGCGCAGGTTGCTCATGGGGGAGTCGGTGAAGGCAGGCAAGGCGCTCCCAGCCGTCAACAACCTCCGCAAGTGGTTCCACGGCTGCCTCCAGGACATGGAGGCCACCCCCTCCTTTCTCCACGTCCAGGAGGTGGCCGCGGAACCACCTGCGGCGGCGCAAGGCGGACCCGCAGCGGCGGGACAAGCTGGCCAACCTCTTCGAGCGCCTGGACGGACACGGCGCGGGCGTGCAGCGGCGCAACTAATTGCCTGACCCGCGCCGCCAAGAAGGACGGTGCGGGTGAGGGGGTGCGGGAGAGGGGTGCGCCGCGGTGGCGGGATAGGGGGCGGGGTGGCCCTCGTCAAAATCAACCCCAAAAATGTCTGACGTGGTTGAACTGCTTGTCGGAAGATCTGGGGCCGAGTATCGATGAGTGCGGGGTACTTGCATGCGCCGCCCCTCCAATGTCAGTCGACGTCAAACTTTCGAGTCAACTTCGGTCAGACTATCTTTGCCCTCGCCTCGACATTGAAGGGGCGGCGTGTCGACATTGAGGGGCGCGCCGAAATCAAAATGACGTGCCAGCAACTTTTGAGGTTAACTTTGACGAGGGTAGTAGGACGGGGCCCTGGAGGGAGCTCGCGGGGCGGGGAGAGGAGAAACGGACCCAGACCCCCGAAGTATTCATTCCCCGAACAGCTTGCTGAGCGGGGTGCTGTTGCGATAGAAGCTAGCTCTGGCCGCGAGAATTCAAAGCGGAGACGCCCTCAAAACAAATTGGTGGTCCGGGCCGTTTCGCCTGAGACATCTTCGCAACTCGTTTCTGAGTTGTCCGGGATTGAGCGTTTCGCCTGAGACATCTTCCAAACTCTGAGCTCCCAGATGCCGCGCAAGAGGTGGTCCAGCCCGTATCGCCTGAGACATCCTCGAAACTCTGAGCTCTGTGATACCGTGCGCGAGGTGGTCCGGCGCGTTTCGCCTGAGACATCCCCGCAACTCTGCGCTCTCTGATGCCGCGCGAGAGGTGGTCCGGCCCGTTTCGCTTGAGATATCCTCCAAACTCTGAGCCCCGAGATGCCGCCCGAGAGGTGGTCCGGCCCGTTTCACTTGAGACATCCTCGCATTTTTGCGTTCCGAGATGCCGCGCGAGAGGCGGTCCGGCCCGTTTCGTCTGAGACGTCCTCGAAACTCGGAGCTCTGAGATGCCGCGCGCGAGGTGGTCCGGCCCGTCTCGCTTGAGACATCCGAGCCTCGAAATTCTGAGCTCTGAGCTGCCCGCGCAAGGGGTGGCCCGGCCCATTTCGCTTGAGATATCCTCGCAATTCTGACCTCGGAGATGCCGCGCGCGACGTGGTCCAGCCCGTTTCGCCTGAGACATCCTCGCAGCTTTGAGCTCTGAGATGCCCTGCGCGAGGTGGCCCAGCCCGTCTCGCCTGAACACCCTCGCAATTCTGAGCTCTGAGATGCCGCGCGCGAGGTGGTCCGGTCCGTTTCGCACGAGACATTCTCGCAACTCTGAGCTCCCAGATGCCGCGCGAGAGGTGGTCCAGCCTGGGGGCCCAGAAGACCACGCGTTACATATCCCCCCTGGGACCCTGGGGGCCCCAGGAGGCCCCAGAAAGCTGCAGGAGGCCGCAGGGCGCCCAGGACAGGCCCCAGGGGTCACCAGGGGCCCCCAGGAGATTCCCAGGAGGCTCCCAGGAGGCCTCACTCAGGAGGCCCCCTATCAGACCGTGCCAAGTTAATT